CTTTGTTTTTATTCTGATCTGTCTTATTTCAGACTATCAAGAGACAGTTCAAGCTGGTCTCGAAGCAAGTGGACCATCGAGAGCTGCAAAACCAGCAAAGTTTGCCAAAGAACAGAAAAAAAACCCAACAATTCTTAATGGTCGCCCTTCTGAGCAAACTGGTCCCCCAGTTGTCCTCTTTCATACTGTTTTTGGCGAATTTCTTCGGGATATGAATAATCAAAATCTACCAATAAGAAGTGAAATCTACAAGTTGGCTGAAGACTTTCTCTGGAATTCTGCTGACTTCTACACTGATGAAGCCACTCGCCTTGAGGCAATTGAGGAACCTCTTAAAAAGATATGGGGTCACTTTGGTAAATCAATGTTTGGCAAGAACAATGCTGCAAGTGATGGTGTCTTGGTCACTGATGTTGGCAATCAGGTGGCTTACCGGATGATACTGGAGGGTAAAAATGAAATTGGGACTGGTGGGAGTGACCCAACTCTTCAAATGTCCATATCCTATCGTGGCTATTGGTCTCAGGGAGATGTATGTATAAATTAGGTTGTTCATACATGCTAATACTAAGGTTTCTAATCACTTTTTTTTGTAGTCCCAGAGGATTAGAGACATTTGTTGCTGCCCAACATTTGGGATTGCAATTGCTGGGCCCTGGATGTGCATTCTTGGGGCTGTCTTTCTTGACAAAGCTGTAATACAACCATTGACACCTTTCATCCCCCTAAGTGTAACACCCCCTGATGACACATCTCTTGATTACATTGCCTGAATCCTTGAGGCACTACGTCTTTCATTTACCACATTAGACAACTTTTACAGAGGCTTGGCCAATTCTAATGATGATGGACAACAGCGATATTTCCCACATTTTCGAGAATTTACAGATTCTCCTTTCACATACATTTCCCAATTGACAGAGCCAACAAGACTAGTATGGAAGGCAAAAATCACACATGATCAACGTTTGATTGTTGTGAAGTTTACACGAAGGTATAATGATACTGCACATGCCCTTTGTGCCAGAAATCAACTTGCACCTACATTGCTTTATTTTGGAGATGGTGTTGAGACACTTGCAGGATTCCATGTTGTGATTATGGATTATATTGATCATCAGCCACTGCAACCTAGCAAGATCCAAAACTTGGTCTCCCGAAGGAATATATACAATGATGTGTTGCAGGCTGTCACCTTGCTTCACAATGAACAATATGTTTTTGCAGATCTCCGCAATCCAAACATTCTGATATATACCACAAATGGAGCTCAGCACTCAATGCTGATTGATTTTGACTGGTGTGGGGTTGATGACAGAGACACTTATCCCCTATCTTTGAGTCGCAAGATCCCATGGCCAAATGGAGTGCAGCCTGGTGGTCTCCTTTGTAAGGCTCATGATCTCACTTGGCTAGATGTATTGCGGAGAGGTTTAAAACTCACAAATGGTATGACTTTGCTGCATCAGGGTCTTTATGATTGGATTTCCTAAATGCTTTCTTATTCTAGATTTCCCTGATCCCCAACTGTAACATCTTGAATTGTGCACTGGAGCTTTATTCCTTTTGCTGACATATGGTGCTTATTATACATCGGGTTTGCTGATACTTAGCAATTGTGTTGATACCTTCTTAACTAACAATATAAATATTCATTTAGGAGCTCTTTATATATCTAATATAAATAACTATTTTTCTCATTGGACATTCAAAAATTATCTCATTTAAAAGAACTACAAATACTAATTATTGGTATTAATTTACCTAATACTAATGATATTAAAGTTGGTGAAGATACTAGGTTATATATTGAATAAATATCATAAGTATAATGCTTGATATAACTCATTAGAAACTTTTAAAGATAGTAAGATAACTATTACTATGCTTAAATTTTCTGAAACTGACATTGATAGCAGTTTAGAATGTTTGCCTGAAATAGAAAGTCTGCCTAAATATATGATTTTTGCTTTAACTATTTTACCTGATTAAAAATCTAGGTTAATATATGAGAACATAATATATATATATATATATATATTACTTGACTTCAACAATGGTGTCAATTGGATGCAGGCTGCCAATAGAGATACTTGTTGGTTTGCAATAGCATATTAATATGCCTTCTTTATCAGGAGCAATTATGATGTGGCATGCTAAATTTACGTCAATAGGTTATAAACAGTAAAATATTAGATTGTTTTCATAAGAAATTGTTGTTAAAATTGTTGTTTCGTTTTCATATATTATGTGAACTTGACTGTTGCTGTTCAAGCAAACTCGACTCGAGAAAAACAAAGATCTACTTGCATTTATCATACAGTATTAATATTGCACTCAAACTGTAGATAGACTTCGTATAGAAAAACTTTGCAGAGATTTACGTTACATAGTCAGTGAATTAAATTGTTAACGTTTCGGGTTTATTGCGTTTTACAAAATATTGCTGTAATGTGTGACATTTGGAAAGCAGATACTATCGAGGTGACATCTGGAAATATTCCCGATTTTCGATTAAACTTTGCGGATTCGACAGTTTTTTACGCACGATTAAACTCGCTTTGTTTTTTATTCAATCGATGAGAGTAAACGCAATTGGACATCGCTGCTTGTTAAACCTTTTAATCAACTGAAAAAGCGAGTGTGTCGTTAGAAAAACACCAAGCGCCACTTTACGGTTTAAAATCGACATTCGCTAAAATCAAAAATACTACTACGACTTTGTATACTCCGCATCATTTTGCGGTTAGAACTCATCGAAATGTTTTATTTACTTTGACATCCTAATCATGAAATATGTTTTAAAAAGAACTTTATTGCCTAAATGCGGATAATTGCTATAATAAGTATAACATCGTATTTAATGCAAGTTATAAGTTAACAGGTTTATTCAAAGTCTTGAGTCACTAAATTAATGAAATAAAAAATGTTAAATTGCAACTTGACTTCAATTTTATCAACGTGCCAATTGTTATCATCATACCTACAACTGAATCATGACTGTTTCTCGGTTTAGGCAGAGCTCCAGTAGGTAAGCGCGTAACAAAATATTTACTCTCCTCGAGACTTGATAAGGGTTTGACATCATTATGATAAATGACATTCCATGAATTGTTGTTTTTCACCTCTAATATGAGGTCGCGAATATCATTATAAAGTGTCCATGCATCTGGACGCTTATCAGGATAAGCATCACAACACCGCTCGGCAAGTTTCTTGTATTCCTCTGGTGCGGAATCAGGCATCGATGGTCGTAGTCCGCCCA